GTAGGGCCTCATAAAAACCACACAATTCAGCTTTGCTTCTAAGAATAGCCTTCCATAATGGTATCAATTGATTTTCGATTTGTTTTTCTAAAAATATCATCCTAAAATAATATTTTAAATAAAGGTTTAAAAATATTGACAGTACAAACCGAACAACACAGAGCTATAATTCATTAAAAGTTTATCTTGTATTTTAGAATTGGAAGGATTAGAAAACAGATCTCAAAGAAAAAGTGAATTTTTTATTTATTATTTGTTTGTATCTAACAGTTTAGCAATATAAACCACTTGATTCTGTAATAAAAAATTAATTTATGTGGTAACAATTGTTTTAAATTTTCGCGTACTTTACAGGCAGAGTTTCAGATCATCGTTTTATAAACATTGAATAATACGAACTATACGTCATTCAATGAGACGAGTCAACATCTGTCTTTAATTCGTCAACTGTGAATATTGAATCAAATATTTTGATTATTAAAAATATAATCGATTAAAAACATATTGTTTAGACCATAAACTTCCAACATTATAAAAAAATTAATAATATTGTAATTATAGTTATAAAAAGTGAAACGAAACGATTCCATGCATCAATTGCTGTCAAAAAATTATTGGCACACTTAACATATTTTACGAAAAACAGTTGAATCGGCCTATTCCGATATTCTTTTCTTTTCTTCACTGTTATTCAGGCTCGGTAAGATATAATAGTCAGTTAACACCCAAATAAGAAATTAAAATCTAATAAAAGAAATATTTGAATACACGTTCTGTTGGAACCCGGATTTCAATATAGAACATGGGTTCTAGCAACAAGGTTACATTGGAAAAATACAAGTCGGCGGAGAGGAAAAAAACAAAACAGAAATTGAAACTGGAACTGACTGAACTGACTACTGAACTGAAAACTGCACTGAAACTGTCCTTTCGCAAATTTTGTGGGTGCTTTCAGGAATGAGTTAATTGTTTTTGGACTCTGAAATTGGTCTGCGTTTATCAGCCAGGTCCTTCTAGTGACTAACAATAAGGGCCAACGAATCGTTAGTCATCCAACAGTTCTACCATGGCGAGAAAAGGTAAAGAAACTAACTTGTTAGATATAAGAAATTTAGTAATTCATCACTGAAAAAGTGGAAAATTATATAGAGAAATTGGAAATATCATAAACAAAAATTTGTCAACCGTCCTAAATATTATTAAAAAGTTTAAAGATGAAGGTAGAATTGAAAACGCAACTGAACGTGGGAGGAAAAAAGTTTTAAACTCATCAAAAGAACCTTTCATTGTTCGAAATGTGAAACAAAATCCAAGAATAAGTGCTTCACAAATTAATGTTGAGCTCCAGCAGTTTTGTAATAAAACTGTTTTTAATGAAATAGTCCGTAGAATATTACGGAAAAATTCATACAATGGACGCACACCTAACGTTACCATAACGTAAAGAAACCATACGTTACTGCAGTAAATCGAAAAAAAGTTTGAATTTTGCAAAAAAATTTATTTCAAAATCTGGAGAATTTTGGAAGGATGCTATATTTTGTGACGAGAGTAAATTCAATATTTAGGGGTCTGACGGCCATACGAAGGCATGGCGAAAACTGAACAAAGAAATGGATCCTAAAAATATTCGCTCGACAGTCAAATACGGTGATGGTCATGTTATGGTTTGGAGACGTATCAATTATATTTAACAATAAATAAAATGGGATACTTAAGCATACTACAGAATAATTTAAAGCAAAGTGCCCAAAAGTTGGGAATTCTTGAAAAATTCCAATTATGTCAAGACCATGACCCGAAACACAAATCGAAAATGATTGAAGAGTGGTTACTCTACCACTGTCCAAAGGTCATAAATATACCACCTCGATCACCCCATTTAAATCTCATTGAGATGGTATGAGACAGATTAAATAAAAAAATACGAAAGCATTCAATAACTCATAAAACAGAATTTTAAAGTAGATTAGAAGAGAAATAGTATAATGTGGTAAACAGGATGGGGTTTATAATGATTTGACTTTATACTTTGATTTATATTTTATTCCCTGGCGATACACGTATACGGAGGCTTGAGTCCTGTACGATGCGTGATGCAGAGCGTTGACTGTC